TTTTACGTGGTTGTTTGGAAGATGGTAAAGGATATTTTACTTAGATCGATGTATTTTACCTGCATAAATAATAATAATATAATAATCATAATAAATTAATAATAATAATAATAATAATAAATTCACAATTATATTTATTTACTTTTTTCTAGAAATTAATTAATGTATTAATCTACTGTTTTAATTCATGCATAAATTGATTATACTATGTTAGAAAACAATATATTCAAAGATAGATCTTTGTCGCGCCATTTCATGGCCAAATGGTTATCTTTGCAGCAACTTCCGAATACGCGGTTTAGAATTTAAATTTTAGGTATAGATGTCGTTACTCAACGTATTCTGTTTAGATGACTAGTAGCACTAGTAGCCACTGAAATATAGGTCGAGTTTTTTAATTCATCGATGGATCCATCGCATGATGTGCAAATGCAGTGTTTCGCTGTATTTACGCATCATGCGATGGATCCATCGATGAATTAAAAAACTCCCACATATATATGTCACTTTTGATCAGCAAAGATAGCCGCGACGAAGATTTCCCCTCACCACGCTGACTTCATATTCTGCGCCCATAAAAATATTTTACGCTCTGTCCAGATATTCCTACGTCTATGGCTGATATTTATAGTCAAATCTTATATTTAAGACCGCTTAAGTTTATCTTCAGATGATGTACGGGTTATTTCATTGGCTACGGAGTATCTAAAGATGAACTTAAGCAATCTTAAATATAAGATCTGACTATGAATACCGGTCTATGTGTAGATCCTTAAGCCAGTGGCACACGATGCTTGTTTCGTGCTGGATAGCTTGCTGGGGATAGAAATATTCTGTTTTGATTGGTACATTACCATCCATCTTCAGAAATGCACCAATCATAACAGAGTTTTTCCATCCAGCACCGTGTGCCACGTAGACTTTAGTCTACATTTTCAGTGCGTGAGCAAACGCAGTTATGTGCTCAATTCTTCAGTAAAGATAGTGGACATTGATTAATAGTGCATGCAAAGTACTCTTTGATATTATAATGCTATTATCGATTTACGAACAAACAGAAGATGCTTTTCAATTTTTGTGATCCTCGGTTACGTCCAGAAATTGAATGCAGTAATGTTAGTACAGAAGGATACGAAGTAACCAATTTGATAAGTGGTTCTCGCAAAGGTTTCCTGGCGTATTCTTGCATCAAACCACCAATTCACATTGACATCACATTTCTTTGTAACATACAAATAAATCATATATTAATTTGGCCATCTGTTGGATCACAGAAGTCATCAGGCTTTCGACTTTACTCCAAAAATACCAATGATGGGAACACTCCGTATACTTTATTGTCCAATGGTTATTTAAGCTCTCGAGATGCTGGACTATTGTTTCATCCGGCAGACATTGATTCCAAACAAATCTTTGCTCCAGCAAATTTCTTAAAACGTTACATTAAAGTATCCATGCGGTACTTTACTGCAAATACTCATAGTTTACGTATCACTATATGTAAAACAGAAAATTCAGTACCAGCATTAGCAAGGATTGAAGTATGGGGAACGGTATCACCACGTTGTGGAAAAGATGTTGTAGCAAGTGTGTATACATTATGGTACAACCATCAAAACACCTTTGTAACAGAATGCAAGAGTAGTACTAACTTTATAAATACTCCAGACAATATAATAACCAACAGGTATTTTTAACTATATATAATTTATTATGCACTTATTTATATATATATATATATGCATGTATGTATAATATGAATATGTTTGTATTTTAAGGCAGAAAAATCAGATATCTCTGGAAATTCCTGAACATTTCTTAGATCCAATTACATGCGAGATGATGACTCAACCAATTATATTGCCTAGTGGTAAAATAATAGATCAAACTACATTAGAAAAGCATGAACAGCATGAAGCAGTTTGGGGTAGACCAGTATCAGATCCATTCACTGCTGTTCCCTTCAATGAAGAACGGAGACCAATCATGGCTACTGCTTTGAAGTTAAGAATTGACAAATTTCTATTGGAGAATAGCAATTCGGATGAAATAAAAAATATGCCCAGAGTTTTGGGCCGTGCTCCATCCTCGATTGTAATGAGAGACAGGAGAATACTTGAAATACCAAGGTGTGTATTAAACAAGAACTCACTAAAAAGGACCAATGAAGATGCCAAATTGAATGTACACAAGCAAATGACAAATGACACACAACGAACAAAAAAATATTGCCATAAACTACCAGCTGTTATCACATGCCCGAAACGAACCACTGCCAATGTTTACTCTAACTCGAAACAAGTTGTGAAAAATTTAATTGCCTCTCCATCAACCACTAATAATTCTCGCAACTGTAATGATAACAAATCGGAAAAACTGCCAAATGATATAGAGATTATTTCAGACAATAGGATAAATGCTCTGTTTAAAGAAACAAATATTAAACGCTTTAGCGCATCAGAAAAAGTGGAATTACACAACATATCGAACAATTGTAAATGTTGTAGTGATAGTATTCTTTATAGACTGCCTTGCAAACATGTGATATGTAGAAAAGTATTGTTATCTATTGAAAATAGTCAATGCAATTCTTGTGGACATTGTTACAAATCAAGCGACGTGGAACGGGTTCATGACAATATTTTAAGTATATAAAGATATTCCGAAACGTTAGATTGTATTATTTTCTTATCACATAATTATATCAGATATTCTGATATTTTATTAAAAGATTTTGTAAGAATATGTTAGTTACTTGCCATATATCTCAATCTTGTTTAATTTATTACTTATTAAATTTTTTATATATGCACAATATGTAAAATATATTATTACAACATTAAATTATTACATCGCAATATTATATGATTCATAACAATTCCAATGATGATAGAGTCGTTCATAATATTTTTGGCACGTAATATAAATACATGTTCATATAAAGTCAGTTTATAAAAATTTGTTTTTATCTTTCGTACACATATATGTATCGTATATCATATATGATCATTTATAAATAAAGTTTAGCATGTTTTTTTAATTTGTACGTTTTTGCAAGAATTAGTATAAATAACGCTCTGTAAATATTTTATACAATTTATGTTTTTTACTTAACTCATATGCTGAATTTACAATAAAATCCATACATCATAAACTCGTGATAAATGGTTTTTAAGTAAAACGAAAGCGTTAATATATATGTGCGATATATTTTAATAAAAATAGAAACGGACCTCTCCAAAAAAAAAGTACGAAAGCTTAGAATCTTGATTACTAACTTGATAACTTGAATCTTGATAACTAAGTAAGATTTGAAGAGGCAAATTAATCGAAGAAAAATTCCGATACGTGCGTTTGACATGCTGGACATAATTATCCCCCCATTATCATATTAATATTATATAAAAGAAATATTAGTATTTAATAGCACTAGACATCCGTGTTTGCTCCTTATTTGCCTCTTCAAATCTTACCGTTAGTTATTCTAAAAAGGAGCTTTCTATAATTTTTGTTAATCTTGATTACGTTTACTTCGGTATTTTCGAATCTCTAATTCACATGGTAATACTGTTTCCACGTGTATGGTTTTGTAAACTCGAAATACATAAAATTTCCAAAGATATCGATAAATTCGTTTCAGTGTATCCAAGAGTCATGTTGAAATCGAATGTACTTAATTTGATCAATCGAATTATATGGAATATTCGCTCTAGTCATTGTGTGCGCTTGCTTAATTGCAACTGACTGAAAATTTATCTTATTACAAAACAGCAAAACCAAAACCCTGATTTTGTCGTTTGGCAATGTTGAACAACGACAGCAAGTAATTACGGGTGTCCGGACAGACATAAAATGTAAGTGTATGTTCCGGATGAGGAGATACTTTTTCAAAGGTGTCAGATTGCTTGTCACTATTAGTTGACACACTGGCTAAACCGGTGCTGCTCGTCCGCACATACTCTGCAACTCGCGCCCTCATTTCTTGGTCCATCTGAAAGAGGAAAAAACGAATGACAAGTTCATCTTTACGTTTTGCGTGACTTATACTTAGCGAATGTTAAGCTCATTCATTTTTGTTAGATTTATCCAAGTTTTACCTCGTGCTCAGCTGGTGATAACGATCTGCTGGATTGCGTCGCAACTGGTGGACAATACAAGCACAGCATCGTCGATTCCGTGATATGATCAACGCTAGTCAGTTCTTTCAGCGAGAATATTCTTTCCACACTGTCTTCCGCCATATTCACCAGCAATAAAGCTTGCCGTGTGAGAACGAGCGTAACCGCGCGATTGCTACCTTGATGAATTACGTGATCCGCGCTGGTCACGTGAAGAATACTGTCGTGACTGTGCTCGAGTAGAGATGACAAACGCCACGTGTATCTCACGGATGTGCTATTATTGCCAGTGGTATATTGCACTATTGGCCTTTGACGTGGCTATAAAAAGATCAGATTACGATAATAGAAATTATGATCAAATTATAAAAGAATACTTGGGAAATGCTTATGAAACGCTTATAAAACGCTTAGGTTTACCGTGGGCAATGAGTTCCATCCAGCTCCTTGTAAGAGTCCTTGACCTGTGAGAGCAACTAGTTCTGCAGCACCACTCAGTGGTTTGGTCACGACGCCGACCAGACCAAGACCGACACCAGTAACTAAACTCTTAGTCGTTGCCTCGCCCGACCACACTTGCTGTAAAGGATGATGTGCCAAGCCAGCAACAGCCGCTGATTGATAATGAACAATTAGTCTGCATACAGCACAATGATGCTATTTTTGTTAGAAAGAAATGATTACCGAGTAAGTTCATTCCAAGACCAGTCAAGCCTTGGTAAAGTCCCTGCGCCATGCCTTGAGGACGCATTCTGCGCGACTCCTCTTGTCGTTGTAAGTGCTCTTCGTCCAACGTTAACCGGTCTAAATTCCGTGCGACACTGGATGCCAGTTTCGTTACGGAATTCACAGTACCTGTGAATGAATCAAAATGTTTAATCGTATACGTTTAAGTGCTCGAAATAAGCGAGAAGTATACACCGTTAGTTGCTGTACCTGCTGTCACGTGTTTCATCAAACTGGCTGAACCGTGTGTGATACCAACGATGAAACCCCATGGACCTTGTAACAGTCCTTGGAATGGAAGTGATACGAAATCTCTGAGACCAGATCCAAGAGCTTGTGCCAAACCTCCGGGTGACCCAAGTATCTCTAACGATCCGACCACCCAGCCTGTAGTCGCATCAAACAAATAATATTTCGCTATTTCATTCATCACATTCAATTATTCTTCTCATTGATCTTTATAGTCGTATCAAATTATACTGAATGCAAAAGAAATCCATGAATTTGTTTCTTGCAATAGAATACACACACGATTTCTGACATCATAATCCAAATCAAATCAATAATTATAATTCAACACAATTAATTAAATAATCATTATTTAAATAAGTCAATCAAATAATTGCCACAAGGAAACAGGAGCTTTAAACAAAGTTTAATAAGTATTCGAATATGAATATGTGACCGACCTGCTCCGAATATAGCTCCAGATAAATAATGCATCGTAAGCGCGTTGCCAAGTCTATATGGGGTGGTGAGTAGATTCTTCCTTTCGAAAATGCCAAAATATAATGGGGAATGATCCAAGGCGACGTATAGTCGCACAGATGTGTGAACGCTTAATAAGATGGACAACGGTTCTATCACGAAGTTCTGCAGTCGCAATGGTCTGCTTAAAATTTTCGAGTCGATCATAATGTAATCCGGTATATACGCTGCGTTCGACACGGCTACTGTTTGCATTCTTTTAGGGCTATCGCTCAGTATCAGACGCGGCGGTATCATCGATGTCGCGTAATCCAACAACTGCGTTATATACGTGTCCTCGATATATGCGCTGATAGGCGCGATTTTCATGCGATATTCCTTTGACGCTGCAGCAGAGAAATATATATTATTATCATTAGTATACGCACACACATACACACAACTGTAGATGTATATATCTTATAATTATATTAAAATATTTACCTATCATGTTTCCGTTCACCTCCCAAGCGTACTCGATGGCTATCAAAGAATCCCGTTTGATCTGTTCCATATTCGTTATTAGACAATTATTACTGTAGAACACCATCTCCCTGCTTGGCAATGGATTCTGACTTATTAGCACCACTGGAAAATCAAAACCACCCTGATCGAACAGTTGATTATCTAACTGAAGGTCGCCTATGTAGCAACACAGATTGATGAATCTGGCTCTCGAGTTTACGGTAACGACTAAATCTGTCATGGACAAACTCGCTACTTCGATTCTCTGTGCATTCTCGTTGACGTCGTGGAGAATAACGATAGTGCAAGAGCGCAAGTAAACTGTAACGGAGCCTTCTTTGGGATTAGCTGGATTAATCTCGTAAGCTGGTCGCGTTTGATTGTCCTCAGTGGAAGCTTTTTCGTCCGTTATCTTTGAGATCAATTGTTTCGAGCTCGACAGCGAAGGAAGAACAGGTTCTACAGGCAAAAGATCTTCTTGAGCCGAAAAGAAACTCGTTAGCGATGTCGAGCTGCTTGTACTCTGTATGTGGGATAATATCTTATCCTCTTCCGCTCTCTTCAACGAAGCAGGACCATGTGTCGTCCCGTCGTGGTCTTTCGCCGTGCTTTTCTTACGTAGCAATCTGCTTCTGATGTCTTGAGCGGACACTTCCACTTGGGAGATGGGTACGATACTAATGTGAATCGTATAACAGCGACTCTGCATTATGAGCTTCACATCGCCGTATGATGGTAATCGCAAATACTGATCTATCGGTGTGGACGACAACGCAGACAAATTTACTCCTCTGGACCACTTTAAGTCCGCTCTCGCCGTTGGTTGATCGTACGGCGGCTGTATGGTGGAGAACAGCAATACGTTCGACGCGTTTGGAACCGCGGTGTCGGGCAGTCGATTGCTGACGCAGGGAAGCGAGTAATGAGACGTCGCTCCACTGTCGACTTCGCATATCCACGTGAAGTGAGCGCTATCCGATAAGATCTCGTTGCTACTCTCGTCGGCTTGGCCTAGCAAGATCTTGAAGCAGCAGGCGTTCTCGATCAACAGTTGTGGATGGTTATCGGTGTGCACCACGATGAACGTGGTGCCCTTGTCCTCTTGTGTCGTCACAATCACCGGCATGGAGGCGCAGCCGTTTGGAATCGTGACGGACCTGCGGCTCATAGCTTGGTCTACTCTGATCGGACAGGACCATCTGTGACCCAGACTGAAGGATATATACAGCACGAGCGGTTCGACGTTGCTTTCCGTATACAATGTATACCACTGCACGATCGGGGTGCCCTGCTTCTGATCCTCTGATGGTGAAATATTCAGACTGTAAGGAGTGAGGTCGTAGGGTAATTGCAGGCCGTTTGCTTCCTCGTGCACCGCGAGTGTGGCCACGCACAATTCCTGAGACGTCAGATTAGCAATTACGTGACTGCTCGTGACGCGCACCAGACGCATATCTTCGTGCATGGAGGAATTGATGCTCAGTAGAGAGATGCTCATGCCGCAATCAACGGATGTCTTAATATTACCCTCGACTGGTATAAGACCACCGATTCGAGGCATGTAGAAGCTTTGACTCCAGTCGGGTCGCGTTAACTGCAACGCCTGGGACGTGTAGTACGTGTCGCCGATCCCGACGCCCAGGTGAAACGTGCCTTCCAGCTTGGGCGGCGTAACTATGCCGTAGTGCGGAATCTGACAGAGCTCCGTGTCTTCCGACACTAAAGAGATGTGACAGCCTAGCGAGTTCATCACAAAGCACCAAGGTTGTAGCTCTAGCAGCAGTGTGCTGGAGACCAAACCCGCGTCCTGATACTTCACCTGCACATGTGTCTGTGGCTGTTCTGCGGATATCCATTCCTCAGAGTCGTCTCCCTGAAACGGCCACGGTATTTCGTCCTTCCGATCTTTAAGATCTCGCAGGATCTTATCGATGTCTTCGACATCAGGTCTTCGAAAGAACTTGCGTTGGTCCACGGAACTGTACGACAGCGGCACGTAAGGATTCGACGCGGAGACACCGGATTCCAGTTGGAACGTCAACTGATGAAAATGCTCAAACGTGCCGGGACAATACAGTTGCTGACACTCGCCGCGACCGTTTATCGTCGTACTCGACGACATCTTCAGAGACGGCGTCTCCATCTGGACTTTAGCTGGTACCGGTAGATGCGATCGGATCATGTAAAGTGGGCTGAGTACAGCGAGGATCTTTGGCTTATCTTGTATCGTCTGCGTTACTATTCGCACCCAGATACTCAGGAATTGACCACGCTCTTGCAATGGCACCTTCACGAGCCAAGGCTGACCCCACTTGATGTTAGGTTGCAGAGGAATGTCTCCGGTCCAAGATAAGTGCGTTAAGTTCGTGAAACGCAGCCGCATAGCCATCTTCTTGTTATTTTCAAGCATGATGGACGATGGGAAGCTCTTGCCCGGTATGAGATACACTTCCTTGGAAACCGTTACCTTGGAGCCGACCTCTGCTTCGTACGTGACCAATCTCATCTCAAAATTGTCGATTAATTGATTGGAGATCATAAGTTGCCCCGAGAACGTCACTAGTTTTTGCGTGGCGGAAAGCGACGTGACGTTCACGAAGATCGCCGTGTTGATCGTCGAATTATTGAACTCCACCACTTGGACTCCGTCCTTATTGACAGAGAAAGGTCGGCTCCATACCCAGGCATTCTCCTCGATCGATATCCGTATCATCTGATTGCCTATCTGCCGCCACGAGTAAAAGTTGCATTGCTTACTCTCGAGCAGTATGCTGTCTCCTGTGCCGCTCTGTCCGAAGCGAATCAGTATATTACTATCGTTGGCGATTACGTAACGCGTCAAAACGATTACGTTCTTTTTTTCTTCATCGAAGGACGCTAGCCATAGTTGGGCAGAGACCGCGAGGGTGTGAGTTATTGCCGGGCCGAATTTTAGCGTAAACGGGTTGCACGTTAACGACGTGTCTACCTTATCCGACAAAGACAACTGGAATCTTCCTTCTAAAGAGTCCAACACTTCTTGCATAGACAGATGACTATAGTCCAACACGTGTACGCTCAGAGTACCACCGACATCGAGCAGCACGGAGTCATCTATCCACTTGTTAAGTACCAAAACGGCTCCTTTCTGTTCCACGGACATGAAACACTGTATTTCAGGGATTTTCCCGTTCAATGTATATCTGTCCAACGGTGGCGGCAAGCTGTTGTATACAGTCGTATCAATATGATTGTACAAAGACACATGAAGCACGCCGATATTCAAGGCGATCTGTATGTTCGGTATTATCAAGGAATTGAAGTAAGAATCGATGCGCAAGCAGGCCGCGAGCGCGCGGGCGGATACGACACTCTTCGACATAGGTCGTTTATCGTTGGACAATATAACCACACGCCATACGCAAGCCACTGCTCGCGCCGGTGCCTTCTCCGGCAGATCCAACCGGTAGGAATCAGTCTCCGACAAGTAGAAATCGGCATAACGTTGATACGATATATGACTGTCGCTCCAGTACTCAACAACGCAGGGAACTTTATCGATGTAGTCACCTTCGATATTCGCTGTCTGTATAACAATAATATAAAATAAATTAAAAAGTGCAAAAGTACCGTAGCATAATTCTGAAATGGAAGAAAAGATTATTTATCAATTTGATAAATGACTAGTATTATGACTTACTTCAAACGGCACAGGAGACACGTGTATCTTTGTTAACGTTCGCGGTTGCGGATATCTCCAAGCCATCGCTTGCTGAGGATAGGTAAAGAATACTACCTGTAATGAAAAAAAAAAAATTAGGTGCTCTCTACTTTAAGTTTTATTCCAGTTTTAAGTAATCGTTAACTAACTTGATACGGAAAGGGTAATTCGTCTGCAGTGCCGTCGATAAATTGGAATGCACCGGCCTTGAGATCATCTTTATAATGCTGTTCAGTCGACAGTACAATTTGCTTCTCGTCTTTATTTTCGCCCTCAGAGAAGGAGGCAAATTCATTTAAAAGCAATTGACAATCTTGCATAACCATTTTTATAATTTTTATCTGGTCCGGCCCGAAGTCAAGATACAGACTTTCACTGTCAGCCTGTATTTGTATTTGTGGAATGACTTCAGTACTATACGAAGATTCCCAAAGTAAGCAGGTCGTTATGTTGCAACACCATGGGTTCAACAGCACTTTAATGTTGCCATTTAATATCGCAGATATAATGAACGAATCTACGGATAAGTTCGAATATATCCTGTCCGGTCTCGAAAGTGTCGAAAGGCTTCCATTCAATGACGCCAAACTGCCGATAATTTCTGCTCCGGAGTCAGTCTTTAAGGACAGCACAATCTGTCTTGTACTTAAATGTAAATCAGGTACACTGAATTTCCTCGACTTTGTCGATATCGCCAAATTTGGAGAATCCGCGTGCACAGCCTCTTTTCCATCTGTAGGCACTTGCGTTGCAACGTCGCCCCTAATAAAACACGATAATACCTGATAAAACATAAAATTGAATTAATTGTTGTGAAATGTACAAGTTAAAAAACATACTTCACATATATGAAATCTCACATATATGGAATCTGTCTCATATATAAAATACCTTGTTTTGTATATTGTAAAGTTTATTGAGACGAGACAACGAAAGATGAACTTTTGTCGGTCGTCCCATCTCAATGAAGAACTGACGATTTTTGCCTAGAATCGTTTCGGACTTTACAGTTGCGAAAGAAGGCGGGATACCCGTGTCTGGATGTGGATCACCGTGTTTCGTTTCTATCATGTAAATTTTGAAATCCTTTCCAGTCGGTACTGTATTCAAATTTTGTGTATCGCCAAGTGCTATCGTTACGTCGAAACAAGATACCTGCAAATTATAAAATATCATTAATGGAAATGAAGAATATATATTTAAGCAGTAAAGTTACAAGTATTATTATTCTTTATAGATAAGTATTCTTTATAAATAAATATGTGATAACGCGTACCTGTATCTTTTTAGATAAATATTGTTGAGAGAAGTAAATATTCGGTTGATTAATCATTAAATAAAGTAATGGCTGTTTTGCATTATCGTTGTCATCTTCGCTGTCAGTTTTTGGTATATCCTATAAGAATAATAAATATTTAAACAGCAATTGAAATATGATAGTCGAACTGTAATATTGCTGAATTATGTGACTATTGCTTACTACGTCATTCTCTAAATCAAGGAATGTGTTCTGAACTTCGTAAAGAATAAATGTTATTTTCCCGCAATTTACTAAAAATTCAAAGGGTAGAAACATCATAGTTTCAGCACCTGTAGGTCTTCCCTGATACAAAAGGATTATTAGTTTTGAAATGAATAACATTACCATGTTTACATTTTATATTTTATGAATGTATAATAATAACTTACAATTATTGTCGAATGCATACTGGACATTTCAAAATCGACACCACTGTCTTTTGCGAAATCGAGATCTGAATCATCCGATGTCTGCTTTAGCCAGCCGATAGATTTTGTATTTTGAAATCCCGAAGAAAATTTTTGAGCTGTATTGTTAGAATTATTTCTATCTTCTATATTCTCGAAACTTCCGGACAATAATGTTTTAAACTCATTATTGAGAGTTGAAATCAATTTAATTTGATCTAAATTTATTGTTAATTCTATGTCTGTAATGCAATTCACTTCTATAGCGCTTCCACAGACTATCGTGTTCGTTTTAAACATGACAGCAGGCGCAATAATCAAGCAGAGATCAAATCTGAAATTAAGTATTAAAATAAAAATATCTTAAACATATCGTACATGCAACTTCTAATTACATACTTTGTCAACACAGGAGATGTAGAAAAATATGGATCCAAACTACTACCATTCCCCAGTTTATTCCATTCCAATGCAGGATTCTCATTCATCGTATACAAATATGATTGAGACATTCTCTAAAAGCATAAAGATAAAAAGTACCATCAATAGCATACAACTACTAAAAATTAGTATTGATGCAACTCAAGAAATCTTATTTTTCATAAGAGTTTAGATTGAGTATAAAATATACAAATATATGCGAATATAAATGATATATGTTTTCGAGATTTTCAAATAATAACGCTTTTTGGTAACGAACCTTATTGATACTTAGCTGATAATTCTTCCACGTAGTAGTGTATACACACACCCCTTTAATGTTAATTTGATACTGACGATCTTCTACAGCAGAACCTGGTACATTCAATATATTTGTTTGAGCAGCCAGTTGATATATGTCAGTTCGTAACGGAGTTCTACAGATTGGATTTTCCGCATCAGGTGTAATACGAATTCCGTCCAACTGTAATATCGAAAAAGATAATGATAAATTATCTGAATCGCCAATAAATTATTAAGATATTCAAAAACAACGCTTTGTAACCTGGAGCATCAGTAAATCATATTGCAATTTATTTGCGTCGGTTGAGGCTGGCATCATGAGTCGAAAGCCTTTGAACTCCAAATGTATCAATGGTAATGATTCATTACTCAGATTGGTTATATCGATTAATGGCGTTGCCATACTTTTACTACGAGTTACTTCCGCGCTTTTCTCAACGGATGAACTCAAGCATGTAAAAGGTTTTATCAATTGAGTATACTTGCTAATTAGACTAAGCGGTAAGATTACGTCGACCATCTGCATTTTTATCAGTATTTCAGAGATGTAGCCATTTGTAGATAATGTAGAGTCGATCAGCAACTCTTTCTAAATATAAATGTGGGAATATCAAAGAAAGTTATCGCTAATTTGTAATTAATTGTACATTTCATTGTGATTTGATTAAAATGGAATATACTAAAAGAATAATTTACCTTTTGAGACTTGTGACGTTTGTGAGTGCCCCAACGCGTGTACACGTTTCCTGATTTTGCACGGGTAAGCGTAAAACTCACGAAACCAGAATCATCGACTTTCTCCAAGTTATCTTCTCTTCCACAAAGTACTAGCCCGGCATATTCACCAACATCCCAATGTAATGCATATGGGCTTCTATCAAATTACAGCAAAGTATTTTATAAAAATTGTAGTCAAACTAAATAGCAAAAATATTATATAGACATATATATAATAATTCATATAATAACATATATATAATAATTCTATATATAGAGATAATAAAATAATTCTCTATAAATATTAGAACTATATCTAGAAAAAAGATATGATAAAAATCTTTAAAAAATGTTCTGCTGTATATTCACAAAGTTGGTAATATATATGTACAAATATTTTGTAGAAGTTAATTTACCTAACGTAGTGGAATATCGTTGCAGTTGTTATTTTACTTTTTAGTTGCATATAAACCGATTGTAGATCCAAGGATGTTATAATATCCTCTAATTCCAACATTAATTTTAGAGAAGACATATTCGCTTGCCCCATGATGTATAATTTGGTCGTTACTTTCGTTATAGTCCACTGAATCCACGCTGTTAGAACTAAGCCATCCTTCTCTATAAGAATTACGCACATGTATTAATTTCGAAAGCAAGCATATATATAAGATGAGTGCGTTTAACTCACCATATCCTAAGTCGTCTTTCGTTGTAGATATAGTTGAATTAGTAGTTGTGTCTTCCGGATATATTATTTGAGTTGGGCTGGACGGAGTTTGTGGTATAACAGGGAGAACAACTTGCGTCTCATTGTTTATTTGTGGTATAATCATTTTGTTCTCACGGGTATCACACAGAGGTCGCAAAATCTTCATGATATCTAATGCTATGTTGCTCATAAAAATAACCTAGAACATATAAAAGAATATTTTAAAAAATTTACGATATATCCGTATACTACATAATATATAAATATAATATAAATATAAATAATTATATAAATATAATATAATATAAATATAGTATAAATATAATATAAATAACCAGAGTATAAATATAATATAAATAACCTATAAAATTGATACCTGTTCTTCCGAAACTGAAACAATGATAGGAGAATTATCAATATGTACACAAACGCTTAACGCAGTGAGCGTGTTCGATTGTGTTGCAGCCGTTTTAGTAGTGAGAGCTACTGTAGCATTCAGTGTAACTTTTTTTATAAAGTTCTTTTGTGTTTGTTGTTGTAAGGTGTAGCAATGAAAGTCAATAAGACTTAATGTCCACGGGAAGCTTTGTATTCCTACGATAATCAGAATAATAATAAGATATTGTTTATATACTGTACATAGTAATATAATTTACAGTAATATGATATAATATAATATAATATATAGTAATATAATAAACAGACTTACGATAGGTCCACATAGATTCTGGTAATTTAACAGGGAGATTCCGTAGATGTGGGCTAAGCATCTCAGCGTTCAGATTAGATGAATGTATGAGAAGACTTGGTAATTTTACTATCATTATTTGCAAATCTTGATTTTCTACCAGAGCTCTTTCTTTGGCCTGTTCTATGCCTTGTAATATATTTTATTATTTTTTAAAAATAAGATATAATCCGTAAAAATATCTATCAAAAAAGGCGGAAACCAGTAGCGAGAACAAATCTTTCGATAAATTTAAAAGTGATTTTTATCTGATTTCTACCTCTTTTTTTTGTTCTGCGTATGATTACAATATTTACCATCAGCGCCAATACCACTCATAGTATTGGATGGTATATAAATAACAATATGTCCAATATATCCACTCAGCACAAGACTGCACCACCACGAATACAACTCTGCCAATCTGACCAATATTCCGGATTTCTGTAAGTTCTATCACAGATCATGTCTCCTTTAACTTTAATGCTACGTAACATCAATATTATATAAAAAGAATTAAAAGATTATCTCGCTACAGCAATAAATAAAAAAAAATAATAATAAATTACGCAATCGCTAATATAATATGTAAATAAATGTACATATATATCTACAAATACGAGTGTGTATAGATTTTGATACCTGTTGTTCATCTTCCATCTTAGATTCACTTTTCTTTTGCGTTTCATCGTTCCGTAACGTTTTCGACTTCTCCGTTATAGCTGATCTTTTCTTCTCTTTATCCGACGAACTGTGTACGCTTTCGTGCAGACTCGGGAACGTTTTCTTCCGTGTACCCGTATCAGATGATGTACCTTCGATGAGCATCTGTTGGCTATCTGAACGTGGTACATGCGCACTTTCGAATTTGTGATAAGTAGGACGATATTCTAGCCATTCGAAGAAAAGCGGGTCTAATGAAGCTCTGATCTCGGCTATTTTAAACGAAGTAAGCGGTGGATGCGTCTGCAATTCTATATTTTTAGGAAACTGAACCACAATAGATAAAAGTGGTACATTTCCCATATCACTGAAAATAAAAAGATACAAGATTATTTAAAACTTTTTAAACTTTGTCGTGTACATTATTAAGATACACGTACAAACCTTTCACCACGATTTTCTGGACCTGAAAGGATAAAGGCTTGCTGCGAATCATTGAAAGCAAATATTTTTACAGAATCTATGTTCACTTCGTTTGATACCGTGACTGAAGATGAAACATTCTTGCAGTTTATATTCTCTAGATATAACTCTAGATATACTGGGGCTGCAATGTGTAAATAAATCTTTAAAATTACATTTTAAAATATAACATGTAGAAATAGAATATCTGTAACATAATAATTAAATTTTTCGACTTAAAAATATGCAATGTTTAGTATTTATACGTACATTTTTCCTGACAAGCGTCATTAAAAAGAGTAGAGCTGACAAGTGGATTTGTCATATCCATGGGATTAAAAATAGAAGTTACTATAAAGGCTGCAGCTATTATCTTTGCTTTGGTGCCCGTGATTGTGATGCTATCAGATTGAAACGAATAAGACTTTTGAACCATGTCTACATTTCGCCAATATTGAGGATACAACAATATCTTGGATGATGCTTCCACTGAATAAGGCATTATTATTGAAGTGTTGCAAGTTTTTGTTAAGTGGAGTTGACTTTTTGCTCCAGTCACCTGTAAAAGAATGTCGAGATTAGTCTTATTAAAAGTGTTTACGATAATATTGTATATAACGTTGCTTACTTGTATGTCAGTAATTGCATGGCACTGAGTAAACATTTCTGGCGATAGCTCTGTCAATTTTGATGCACAAGCCACAAGTCTAAACGGATACATGGGCTGAACTATAGTGGCGATTGCTTCATCACATTCAATGGTCGCAAAAGGATCATCCGTAAGGGCAGGAGATGGCGGAGTAGTCTGAGAAAACGTGGTCAGCGGTATGTTCAAAGGAGGTAACAAGCAAAATAAATAAATAAATAAATAAATAAATAAATAAATAAATATATATATATATATATACATATAATAGATTGGATATCTTACCCGAGTTTCAATAATTTTACGTTGACGTGGTACGCCTGCAACGCAATGATCTGCCAGTTGTAATTGTAACGACGCCTTTTTTAAAATTAATTTTGTTTCCGTCATCGATACGTTCTCCTTGAGTGCTTCGTATTCTTCCAATGTAACTGGGGGCAGCTCGTCAACGAGAGGGTCTGAAATCATGATTGAGCTTGTCAGATTCAATTTACAATTTTTATTTTTATATTTAAGACTTTTATTTAACGTAAAATTATAATTAAACTAAAAGAATAATTATAACACGTACATATTTACCTGGTTTTATTACAAGGTAGGGGTCATAATCATAATTTGCTGCAGCTTGTTTAATATTATCGATACGATGGAAAATTCCAGAACATAATCTAATTGTTAAGTCGCTGCCAAGATATCTTACTATCCTGCGCTCCTGAAAATTGCTATAAAAGATAAGTTATTTATAAACACCTTTTCTTTTTTATACTTTTTACATGCAAATTATCAAAATTTTTCAAACACCTGTATTCAAAATTTGGTCCAAGTTCGAATAACCTTTCGGGAGTAATATCGTCGGGCAATTCAACATAATATACATAATCCATGACAAACGCTTGACATCTCTCTAACAGTTTTTCATCTAAAAAAATTAACATTTTATTACCTTCTACAAAATAATATATGTAAGCATTTCCAATAATAATATTATTAATTATTATTATTATTATTGTTATTGTGATTGCTATTACTATACCCGTGAATGTTGTCAAGTGATGATCTACTCCTTGCTTGTAATTTCTCTTTTTTCCTTTGTTTTCTATAGCTTCTTTATCAAATAATGAATCTTTCAAATAGTCAGTGTTCAATTTCCCAGCTATTATGTAAAGAGGCGGCTATAATAATAATTTATCTCTTCAGACATTTTCTTCAATTCAGTAATAACATAAAATAACATAAATTACTTTACCTGTGCACCATCAATAACTTCTAAATATCCACAACTGCATGTTTCTCGCGGATAAAGTCGTATACATGCCACTCCAACTTGGAAGGTCGTCATTGCAATTCCTTGAATTAAAGTATCTATCACAACCCCGTTTAACTGAAGCGATAACAACGATTTGTACCTAAGTTTCCGAGATTTATAGAATAGTTGTTCTTTGACACTTTCAACAGTCTGTAGAAACCCATAAAATGTAATTATTCATTCCCAAGTTATTTATAGTATTAAAACAGTGCTACACATACATCATATCATACCTTAAATGTTAGAGTAGCATCATCTATGTAAAGGCCTAAATGTACAGTATGACCAGAATAAGCCATTTGTTGCTCAGCAGACCAATCATTGTCCCAATCAACAGGTAAAACGGATGATACCATGTCCCACGCCCATCCACCCCAGCCAACTACATCTGTAGAAGTTGCCGCTACTTGATTCATGTCGTCTAAAACGTTAAAAAAATATAATATATTGAAGTTAAACTTGTTGAAGGCAATACATAAACAATACTGAACCTTGCACGATATCTTCCCTCTCGTCTACAGTAATGGAAGATTTCTCCTTACTTGGTGGAAACTGTTTTGTTTGCAACGCCATTACCAAGGCCGCTAGTCTGAGAAGCATCGGTACTTGTTGTTCGGTTACGCTAAATTCCATTTTTTCACAATGAAGATCGAGTCTCGTGATAGATGCTCTCTTCGAGATATTATTATGATATTTTATAATCATGCGGATTGTCATTGAGCATCGATATAAAACGGGATCCTACACATATCTCTGAGTTAATATATAAATTAACTTCTTTTTAGATTAAAGCTTTTTTGTCTATTTTATCTATTATTTTTTGTCTTCAAGGCCTTTACAAGATCTAGATTTGCAGAAGAACTATATAATACCTGATATATTTCTATCTTGCCTGATGCATTCATTTTATCCAAACATAATGTCAAATCCTGGATAGTTATAACTTTCCTAAGCATCACTTCATGAGCGTTGACTTCTAAACGTTAATTATATATATGTATTAACACATTTTTATCTTTAACATAATTCTATATTGTTTGATAAACAACATGATATTTTGCTCTATAATTGTATAGAAAGATTGTTAAAAAGATACCTGTAAAAGCTGGTTCCCACTTGTTATCGACAGTTTGCATACTTAAAAATCTAACATTTACACTAAGCACAATATCCTCTTCTACATACTTCAAGATGAGATTGTTGCAATGAATAGTGATATTATTAATGACCTTTGTAACTATGCTTTTTATATATCCAGATGGAGCTTCTTCTCTATTTTGTAAGAAATTAAAAATATATATATTTTTTTTAATACTAAATTATTAAATAAGAAATTTTTAATTATATATTTTATATCTAATTATAAAAAATTGGTACTTACTGTACCACCTCTTTTCTCCTCTGTAAAGCCGTTGTACTACTTTCTGTGGTGTTCTCATCTTTCAACTTTAAAATGCACTCTGCAAAAACATAAGGTCATCAATATTTATCCGAGTTTTAATATTTTTTTATACATTTAAACATTTTTAATACATTTTTAAACCTCCATTCTAAATTTTCATATTGTGTGTTATTTACCTATAGTATTAATGGTAACAACTATTGGTTCAGAAGTAATTTTTACCCAAGGAACGTGTATCAACAATTCATGTATATGGCCACTAACAAAAACAAATGGAAGATTAAGTTGTTCTTCTAATACCTCTAGCCGTAAATCTAGATTTTGAAAGGATGCATCTCCACCCCATAAAGATACCTGAAAGTTTTTCATTTAAAATATTCTAAAGATACTGGATATATTTAAAAAATTTTTTAATTTTGGAATAAGAACAATCTTTCTCTTTCTCTCTTTCTCTCACTCAACGTTCTTATAATTAAGGAATAAGAGAAACACAAAAGTATTTTGCATATTTATATTATATATTCCTTACTTTTGTTCTAAATTATTCATACAAGATGATATAATATTCAAAAATATTATATCAAATATAAAGTCAGTTGAATTATGTACTTACTTGTGATTGTTCAGGTTTAAAATTTTTTACATATTTCTCTACATAACTGAGAATCACTGGTGTTATATAGGATTCCAATTTAAACATTGTGTTTGGCAAGGCAGGATATTTAGCATATTCTTATAGACTTCTTTAATTAAAAACAACACAAATTGTTTTATCAGGAACTTCTCTTCTCTTTTCTCATTATAATAAATAATATATAATTTATATCATTTTTTATGTTCTCATTGAGATAGTATACAATTTGGAATGAATCTTATATCTTAATACACATGTAGGTTTGCCTGAAAATTGGAGAATAAATTTTATATGAGTTAAACATATATATATATATATATATATATATATATATATATATATATATATATAT